CCGAGGATCAAATATGAAATCCTCACCAGACATAAATCCCAAGGCGGACTGAGTCTACCACACCTTGAACGTTACTACGAAGCAACAGTCCTGTCGCGAATATATGAATGGTCGACCCACCCCCCAACACGACAGTGGATAAAGCTAGAAAGCTCCATATTCAACTCCCCATACACACAATCCCGTGGCAAAAATCAACCCTGTCAACACTCCTCCTCAGCCACACTAAACACCCTACGATCCGACCCACGCTCCTGACCTGGTCATGCATTCGCAAGTCGACTAATCTGTCCCCCCACCCATCCCCCCTATACCCCATTACCCACAATCCACTCTTCACCCCAGGCATGACAGCCAAGCCATACCTCACCCTCCAAAACACATCAGACGAGACATACCTCCAGTTGGGCACCCTCTTGGAAGGTCACCACATCCGCCCCCTCTACAACCTGACAAGACAAGACACCCATACGCCAATGCAGACCTTTCTCTATGCCCAGGTGGCCCACTTCATAAGGGACAACCCTACCCTATGCAGAGGTGCACGTGCGCTCTCAAACTTCGAAATACATTGTAAATCAAACAATGTCAAAACCAAACTGCTCTCGACGTTCTATAAACTTCTCAGCTCAGAATCCACTAACACGCTACCACCCTTCACGGACTCATGGGCCAAAGACCTCGACACCCAAATTACAAACCCCAATGGAACACCATTTTCCGTCAAATACATACCACCTCAATATGTACCGCGATCCAGGAGGGTAACTACAAGAGAATTGCCAGATGGCACTACTCACCATCCAAAATCCATAGCCTATTTCCAAACACACAAGACATATGCTGGAAATGCCTAGCTCATACCTGGTGGACTTGCCCAATACTCCAGAAATACTGGAACAATATAGTAAAAATGCTCAAAACAATAACGGGAATTCAAGTGCCAACTACCCCACAGGCATTACTATTCATGATCCTCCCAAGCCTCTTGCCCAAACCGCACCATATCCTCCTCACCCACCTTATAACCGCAGCCAATTTACTCATTCCTGTCAAATGGAAAAACCCTAACGCCCCATCAATCAGGGAATGGAAAACGCTTAAGTAGAGACAATCAGAACCATGGAGGAAATCCATGCCTCCATCGCCAACAAACAATCACTCTTTCAGAACGTATGGGACCCATGGGTCAAATTTATAAATGACAAATAGATCAGGTATACCCTACTGAAGGAGGAACACACACGTCAGCCCCCCAACACCCTAACACTTCTGCAATGCAGACACTGACCCAAGGGACCATACACACCCTCCTCCCCCCAAATCCTGCCGACCCAATCCTCTCACCCACACCAACATAACCCCACTCTTCTCCCCGCTGAAACCTACACCACCCGACATAGCAACACACCCATCAGTCACAT